TTTGTTCTGGTCAAAATGCTTGTCAGAGTAAATTCTGAATATTTCAGTCATGTAACGTTTTATAATAAAATAATGACTGTATTTTGCATTTAGACAGCTGTAGAACTCTTATTTATAGCATCACACTGCTGAAAACAACTTTGAAGGGCAGTGTTCAACAACAAGAGGAAAAATAATAATAAAAAACATTCAAGAAGCAACTAGCATGATTTCTGCCAGCTGCTAATGTAGTTGTCTGGTGCAAAAAGAATTCGCTTAGTGACTCTTTCAGCCATCTACTGGGATATATCCTGAGATCTTTACTGAATCAAATCCTATATACATGCCAGGATTTTAAGGACTGGCAATTCTGAGATCCAGAGATGAATTAGGAATATGTGTAGGTGTAATTCAGGTGTACTGGAATATGAGGTATATGCCGAGGGATTAGATATATAAATGGAATTCATATCCACTTATACCAGGTCTGTTGGATACTGGCATAGCCCTCAGGCTAGAGCAGGATGGATTAGTCTTTCCTGGAGGATGCAGCCCAAGATACATTAATGGTCACAACTGAAAGGAGGGAAGATACACCCAACACTCCTGGTTTTCACTGCCCGGGATTCCTGTTTAAGCAAGGTTCTATCTTTCCTTTAGTGCAAGGTAACCATCGGACTGATCTCACCGAAGGGAGTGTTCTTGTAACAATGGGTTCTAAGGAAAATGCCAACTACTTAAAGGATTTGTTTAAACAAGTGAAACAATACAAAATGTTCGGTTAAACTGGCTCAGGTCACAGTGTCTCACTTTCTCCTTTAACAAATGTGATTTGTGTCTTGTGACTTGCTACTTCAGACAGTGCTGTAGGCACTCAGGCACCTCAGTCTCCAAGTTACCTGAAAGTCGGATGACACAGCCAAAAGTAACAAATACAGAGAGATGCATGCTCCTGTAGTTTCATGAACTGTGTTTAAAAATCTATGTAAGAAAGTTTTTTGTATGCTTGAAAGGGTGAGAGTGACTTTTCTGTCAGCTGTCTTAACTGATAACCCCAGAGTCTTCACTGAGTGGTATGAAAGACCAGAGCTCATCAAATTTAACACTAGAAGGAGAAAAAAAAACAACTAATTGGTTTTGTCTTCCAGCATTTAGCTGGATCCCTGATGGCAGCGGTGGATTTTGCACATTTCTCTGGTGACCCAGATTTCTCAGTATGACATAACAATTGAAATAAAATGTTGTGGTCCTGAGCGATCCTGCATTTGGAAAACATGGAAGGGTAACCTCAGCGAAATTACAGTAAGATGTCCCAACATGTTAACATTTCGTTTAATTTAAGGCCCTGGCTAACGTTCCATTCAAGACTGCTTTGACCAAAGCTGGACCTTTGCAGAAACTGCAGGGCAAAGGTAAACTCATTATGGTCACACCAAAGTATTTCACATTGCTTGTGAAATCCACCTTAAAACTGCCTCAGTTTTCTAGGGGATATCCCAGTACTGATGGCCAATTAATCATTCACATTTGAATGTTAAAAGAATGATGCATTAAAGCATTCATAATGAAAGCTGCCTGCAACAATAACTTCTTAACAAAAGACTGCTATTTTAACTTGCTCCAGCTGAGATAAATCTAGACTTTGAAGTGACAGGAAGTGGGGCTTGTTGCTACATTAAGGGTACTCAGGTTTTTTTCAATCCCAGTCAGAGGTACCAGACTGTGGGACCCAGATACCCATAACAATTGGGCACCACAGCACCCTGTTATAAAATCCATGCTTCTGTGTGATGTGCCTGGTTCCTTTGCTTAGAAAAGGCTTCCAAACTTTCACAAACAGCCATTTGTGTCATTCCAATGCCTGCTTAATTCCTGACAATACTCTGACTGCCACCATCCATATGCAAAGAATGACTCCTTTTGCCTATACAATTTCTTCGTGGGAGCATGCTTGTGTTCCTTGGCCAACAAGGTATTTTATTCACGTGTATCTCTGTGATGGGCTATGGAGGAGAAGCAAAACCATTTTATCTAAAGGTATGCTTTTGCCTAATTTTCCATATGCAGTCACTGGTAGGATCTTGAATTTGGTAGGCCACTGGTTCATGTTCCTTATAGTGGTGGGCAATCCAGAGCAGCCTCACACAGTCTTTACAGGATTTTCAGTTGGAAGTTTGATGTTAGGTGAGAGTTTCTGAAGAAGCTGAAAGTAGTCTGAGGTTCAAAAAGTTTGGAAGCACAGACCTACCCACTATTGATGTCAATACAGAAGAATTAAGAGCTAAAAAAAAAACAGTTTTGAGGAAGCACAAGGATTTTTACTGGATCTTGGGGATTTTCTTTATATTACTTACCTCATGTTGTAAAGAGTCAGAGAGCTTCCAAATTCTTTCAGTGTTCAACTTCTTCAATGGGTATCCTGTATGAGTGGCTAAAAACTTCAGAAATGGCTGGAATACAATAAGGCAAACTTGTAGTACACAGGTCGTCTTTACATCATTTCCACACACTGCCATACTAGTACGCAGTAATTTTTAGAAACAAGATAGTCTTCACACTTAAGCAATGAACCATTACCTATTGGTGAGAGAATTTGGCCTGTCCTTCTAGACAAGGTTGGTCATCTGAGTTCAGATTTGAAGTATGGTGGTGGTTTATGTTTGGTGGAAATGTTTGGAAGAGGGTAGAATAGAAGGGGGACAGATATCTGAGGATGTCTGGCTTAAATCCAGAAAGTGCTTATAGGAAGTGTGATAAAGAGAATTATGATGATGTTTGTATTCAGCAGAAGGGAGATATGATTTCATAAAACTGGGAATTGTGAATCACTTGCATACAAGACCCAGACGCAGAGCCATAGACATATGGCTGAGGTCAGTGGTTAAAGAGTATACAAAATTGGGTGAGTTTGATAGTGTAATTTTGAATAAACTTGTGAAGAAGTTTGCAGCAGCGTAGACAAGTGATTACATACTCATGATGAAGATTCTGATGGTGGAGAAAGAAAGGAAAGGGATACCTTACAGAGGCAAGAACAAAATGTAAGTGAGAACCTGAGTGAAGACTGGATGTGAAACATGAACAGGTACTTGAGGAGAGCACTGAGGCTGTTACGGGAAATCTGGGGAATTGAGCTGTGAGCTTTTTTGGTAGAAGAGGAATCTGATCTAATAGAAAGTTATAGAGGCAGAGATGTCAGGAGTTGCTTTACTTTGGAGTAAACAAAGGGAGGTATTGGCACTGATTTAATCAGAGTTTTTGTTTTGTCTGCTCTCCTGAAAGGTACATGGACTGTTTTGTTGCAAGGTAGTCAATAATTTATCTTTGACATGACTTGCAACTTTCAACTGATGAGAAGAATGTTGTAATAGGTTTTTGGGTATGTTGTATACACTCACTATGAAGATTAGAGATCTGGAAGGAGCACATACTGACTGCCATTATTTAAACCTACCTGTTAGATGATGTTGGCAGAAGTGGTACATTTGAATTAGATTTCCAGAATTGAAAATACTTACCCTGTAGTGCTTGAGTTGCCTTTGGAAATCCCTTGTTGCCAAGGTTTCTCTCAGAAGCTCATTGTATTTTGGACAGTGTGAGAAAGGTAAGTATAGCAACTGAAACAAAAATTGCAAAACACTAGTTAGGCAAGGTGCTTCTTGTTCTGCAATTCACCCTTGCAGGGTTGTTTTTATGATTGGCTGCTCTGGTTGAAACAAGCTGAAAAATGATTTGGGAATGTAGTTTTCAAGGATATTCACCTTGAGGACTGTAAGTGTCATACTGATGACTACTTACAAAATAGGCTTTAAGTGTTCAGAGGAGTAACAGCTGCAGTAGTTCAAAAAGGGTTCATTTACACAAGATGACATTTATCCCTTGACAGAACACTAACACAAGCCCTCATGAACTGCTTTGTGCTTGGCTTCCCCAGGAATGATTTCATTCACTGTGTTCCATCCTTATTTAAACACACCGTCACCTTTTAGAAACAAATTACCCAGCAGTGGCTGGAGTGCAATAGGAGTCTTTGTGCATACTCAGCTGTATTTAGTGGCCTTACCACAGCTTCATTTAGTAAAGCTAAATTGTGGAAACTTGTGAAGTTTCTATAACTCAGTTTTGTCTTTCATTAATTCAGGAGATATGAAGGTTAAAGGTTACATGCAACTGGGATTACTTCAGACTTTGTTCATTCATTTATCACAGCTAAACTGAGTTTATTCTTGTTTGAAGTTTTTAATGTTAACAATTTAAACAAAAGTTAAAACAAAATTTGACACTGAAATATTCTAACTGTTTTTCTATAATATGCTTTTTGCCCTTTTTCCACAGTCAAAAGAACTTCAGAAATACCTTGAGAGTCCTGAAGGGATAATGGGCTTGGAAAGCTTCACAGCAGTTCCTCAATCTTTTTAGAGATAGAATTTATCTATTCCAGAAGGTAGGAAACTATTTCTGAATTATAACCAGAGGTTCATGAAGAGGCATGACTTTACACATCAGTGCTGGACACTTGTTTTGGATAGTAGGATACATGTGGTCTCAAACTTAGCCTGCATATGTAGTAAAGATGAATAATGTTGAATAAAGTATGAAAAACATGTATGTGTTCATGACTTTATGGTTTGATTTACTCCCCTAGATGTGGCTGAGGTGCAGCACCTACTAGCTGAGTTTGCTAGAGGTGTTGATACTGGCCACATGTATGCTGGACTGTTTGCTGGGGTACCACCGTCTGCACCAGTGTCAGAAGCAGTTCCTGACTCTACGCCAGGGTGTGTGCATGAACAGGGAGACATGTGTCTCTATATCCTCCATCTTCATGCTCTCATCATCCCAAGGTGCGAACCATTGCTTCATGGCCTATTTAACATGATTCACTTATTATCACAGACTGAGTTAACTAGACTTGTAAGCCCACATAATTCATCTTGCATCACACGTGCAAACCTCCTCTCTCAAACTGGGACTTAATCTGTACACTCCTGATCTTTCCTAGCTTTTTACCATGGGTTTTCCACAAATGGGAAACTCCAGTTCCACTCAGCTGCCCAGCTTTCCCCTCTAGGACAAGTATATGCAGGTTACAGAGGTGCTATCCACGCAATTCCTTATAGCTCCAAGGTGAGGAGTTGAGGAAGAGAGATGAATAACTATATTGACCTGTGAACGTAGGCTCTTAATGCTCCGAGTCCTCCTTCCTTTTCCCTTTTACTTTCTCTACCAACCCTCAAAGTGCAGGCACTGACCTTCAAAGTGCATGAAAAACAATCCTCTGACTCAATTCTCACAGCAATGAGAGTCCCGAAATAATTGTTTTGTCTTTTTGTAGTTGACTGTGGATTAAGAAATGTTGAAGCACTAGTGAGAACACTGCTTCTGTTCTCCCACAAAGAAAGTCACATTTGTGATAAATCTACTTCTGTAGGTGTTTACTCAGATTATAGGTTAATTCTTTTTTCTCTGTGCCTAGGACTTCTGGTTTTCTTCACGTCTCTGTGGAAACTCTTAATATTTCTACTCAGTTTATTTGGCTTTTCTGCACAATGCCTGTAGCATTGTGTACTTTTCATTGCCTTTACCATGCCCTTTGTCCTGCCCCTTCATCTCATATCCTAGGCATTTTACTAATGATTAAAGGAAAGCAAATGCCCCCAGTTTATACTCACCCTGTCATGTGACAGTGGCACCGTGTGAACTGGAATTGGCTGCCAAAGGATTCCAGGGTTCCAAATCTGGTCCTGTGTTGGGGGGTACAGCCCAGCAAGACTTGCCTGGGCACTCATAAGTGTGTGATCACAATCAGTGCTTCGAACATAAATCTGAAGCAAGAGAAAAAAAGAAGTTTTTGAAGGTAATTTCTCCTCTTTTGTTTTGTTTTGTTTTTTTCTCGTGGTAGGAAAGAAGGGGACAGGTACCATGCTGAGGAAGCTGCCATTAAAGTGGAGTAGAGTGAAAAGGAACAATGAGAAAGAAGGAGGGAGAAAGAGTGAAGCTGGAACAAAGCCTTGGAATAAAATTTTGTTGGACAAGGAACGTGGTAGCATTTCCCTGTAGGAGTCCGAGTGAAAAGCAGTAAGACTGACTCCATTTGACTATGTAGGCTCTGGGACATTGTGTATGCACTGAACAGCTGGACCCTAAATGAAGACTAAGCTGTATCTGCACTCCATATGGAAGTATAGCATTGGAGATATCCAATATCCTCAGTATGCCATGCAACACTGAGGCATCTGAACCTGCTATACAGCCTAAAAAGCCTTTCATATGGTGTTTTTCAGTTAACCATCAGCCTGAAGAAACGTTGAGCCACAGTTTCAGAACTACTTTGAATTTACATTGGATTCAATGGGTATTACGTTGTCTTGACCACCACCAAGTTCAGACCCTCGTGCATTCAGGAAGTTCCATTAATATTCATGAAAAACATCCTTCCTCCCATATATAGTACTTGCCTCACACTGCTTGTACACGATACTCAGGAAATAAGAGTATCTCCTCCGCATGTACTGGCCAAGCTCGTACTGCTGCTGTATGCCAAGCTGTGGAAGTAACAGAATAGTGTAAGAGGCTCCAGAAGTGTGTTATGCATCTTCTTCTACAACCACAAATTGAGATAATATTTTATATTATTTTGATAAAGACTTTTTTCCTTTCTATAGAGAAGGAGGACAGAAGACAGGTGAAAAAAGCAGTAAAGTTGCTGTGTCTGCAGTATCAGATAATGTCATATACGTCTTCCTGACGGATGCAGCTTTGCATTTTGCTCTGTGGAAAGCATGCTTACCCAAGCTAGTGAGACTGGCTGAGGGTCAGGGGGCCTTAACACAGGCCTATAGATATCTCAACACTGTATAGTTTCTGCTCTGTTGCTGGCTCACAGCTGATTACATGGGAGTGGAGGCACAGCAACCGCCTGTCCATGAAGACGAGTCCAGGATATGAATCACGTAAAGTATCACCAGCAGTTCCCTATGGAGGCTACGGTTTTAGCTTGAGCAAGATCTTATTTCTCAAGAAGACAGAAAATCTTAAATAGAAGACTTTAAGTAAAAGCACTCCAAGCCTTTGGGTATTTTGTGCAACGGTTAATTATTATCAACAGCCTAAAACATTTGATTCTTGGTTCTTGCCTGACTATGTCCCTAGTGGCTTAAGCCACTGGATCTTGTTAAGCTTTGGAATGACACATTCTATACCATCACAGATCTTATTCCTAGTAAGATAATAATAAGATGGAATCAAGTTACTCAATCTTTGTGTTAAACTAAATAGATGACAATCCTCTACACTCATGGCAAAATGGGGTTTCCAGACTCAGCATTTTAGTGGCTCTTTGCTGAACATTTTCCAACTTACCAACATAATTTTGTAAACACATGACATGACAATTACATGCAATAACCCTGTAATGATCTCAGTACTGTCATCTTTTTACTTGTACCTGGTTTCCTGGCCTAAATTGTAATGTACTCAACTTTGCTCAAATAATCATTACTCTGAACTGGAATCTCAAGTACAGTGATTACTCCTTGCTTCCTAAAGTGCTTTTCTAAGTCATAGGATCATAGGATAATTCAGGTGGAAAGGGACCTCAGGAAGTCTCTAGTCCAACCTCCTGTTCAAAGCAGAGTCAGCTCTGAGGTCAGACTAAGATACTCAGGGCTTTATCCAGAGTGCCAGACATGGCCCACAGTGTGTGTATGTGATCACCTCTTTCTGTTGCTGGAATTGTGCATGCATATTCCTAGGGCATATGCTTGGCCTAGGTTTCTGCCCCAACTTGCCTAATATGTTTTGTTAAATTCTAACACCTGAGTATTGAAGCCTTCCATGCCCTAGAGCAAGCTGGCATGTAGTGCTGAACTTGCATAGTGTCTATGTGGAATGACTGAGTCACGGCTGAGGTAAGGCACAGGAAGCTGGTCTGTTACTCCTGTTTCTTCATGGGAGGTGATATGAGAGGAAACAGGCCTGACCTTGCGCTGAAGATCAGTTTGGCCTCCTAAAAGTGGTGAAGAAGAGGAACCCCTCATGCAGTTTATTCTATTCTGGGTTTGGTGGAGACCTGGCAAATGACTAGTTCCCCTAGGAGAGAGAAACATATGCCATTGTGCTGGACCTACTGGAAATAAGGTGTGTGAGTGAACTTATTCCAGAGCAGCCTAACAGAGACACACACCTCACAGTCTGCCTACACATGAATAATACCCATTTGTCTGGGACATCCAGACTTTTGGCACTTCTTCAGTTAGACTGCCTGGTTCCCAGAATCCCAGGCAAATAACTAGTGGATTTTTCCATCCAAACAACATATCTTGGGGAACAAGGAATGAAGCACAGAAACATTGAGTACTGCTGGTGGGAGTGGAGCAGAAGTAGGGTTCAAGCCATATAGTGCCTACTTATTCCCTTACAGTCTGATAGTACAGGAGTTCACCCTTGGCTCTATTCACAAGAGGAGGCAGCTAATTACAGTTAATGCAAAGACACAGTTTCTGCAGTTGGACTGTGGAATTGCCTTTGCTGCTGCTAGTTACTACCATCAGCTGATGCTTGTGTGTGAGCATCACCACTGCCTGCACTCAAATAGCTGAGCTTTAAAGCTAAAGCTTTAAACTTCCCCTGGCATAACATGAGAGAAGTTTCAGCTATTACTGATCTTAGTAGTTCATGAGCTAGGAAGTGCTCAGCAGATACTGAGGATGGTTTGTGAGCGCTTCCACCACCTTACCCTACTGATGGTTAAATCTTCATGTTTGGCCCCAGGTGAACTGTGATGGTCACCAGTGCCTGAAGACCCTAGTCTGCAATCAAACAGGTCAGCACATGTTGCTATTGGACCAGACCAGTCTGACTCAGTGTCATTTCAAATCAGTGACTGCTTGTAGCTGTAGCTTCCTGGTAAATTGTTTGGCTGTCCTTTTGGAGATCTGTATATGGTAATTTAATATGGGCTTTTTCCAAGTGAAAACAAAATCCCAAGAACAAAGTATCAACAGACCACTTTCCAATAGCTCAGTGTATTGGCCCAGATAAGCAAACACACCTTGGTAAGCTGTCCATATCCCTGCTGCCTTCCAGCTTCTTTGTGCTTGTCAGTTGGAAAAAACTCCTGTGGGGTATGATCACCATGGCGAAATACCTGAAAAACAGATGGAATTCCCTTTGCTTTAATGGGATCCTTTGTGATGGATGTAATTAGTGCAGTCACAAGGAATATGCAGTGACAGTGAGTACTGTATCTGACAGATGCTAAATATATTCATGGTGCTTTTCTTGGGTCTGGATAGCTACAATACCCGTTTGATTTATTTAGACAACTGTAACTCTTCTATTCCTACCATTTGAAAAGCAATTAGCTCAACTTTTTTTTTTTTTTTGTTATAAAAACCATGCTATATCTTAATATATTTTGAATATATTTTAGATATTTTAGGAGCTATAGACCACAACATTAAATAAACAGGAAACAAACAGAGGCATGTAAGTAATTTTCCAGAAATGTGTTGCTAAAACTAACTGGGAATTCATAAGGAAAAAAATCCAGCTGCTCCTCTAGCTACAGTTTCTGTGGCTGACTGCTCTGAAACACTGTCTGGTCAGAAATTAGCCTTAAAAAGCCACTTGTTGACTTTTTCATCATTCAGAGGTTATAAAAGTGTCATCTAATCTAAATAACAGACTAAACTGTTAGTCTGAAAACATTGAACCTGTTCTGGAATTTCCCTTCAGATAAAGATCAATCCATAAAGATACATTGAGGTTTTTCATTCCTGCAATGAATCCTTCCCTTGCCCAGCAGAATTCCTGTAGATACGTGGATTGACATTTTAAAATCTTACCACCAGGTGGGTTTTTTTATTTCTTAATCCACGTGGAGAGAACTAAAATGGAAACCTGCAGCACAAAGAGTATGGAAGTGATTTACAACCTGATGTGATGTTCAGAACAAGCAGCAGGCTTCCTGCAAACAAATGGTACATCATAATCATTGCAAGTAGCGTTAGTTTCACAGCACTGGCTCTCTGTTGTTCATTCAATGCCATTGTACACTCGTTGGGCTTTCACAGAGAGAAATTTGGTTTGCATGTTAATCCCTTGAAACCACTGGAAAAGTGGAAACTCTTCCATGGCAATGAGGGGTTTTGCACAGTTGATACTTAGTTATGAACTTAGTTCTACAATTGAGAAAGGAATCCTGTGTGATTCTTCTCTTAGTGCTGTAAGAAGAAGCATTCTTTGTCAATCCAGAAAGTCAAGTTCATCTAGGACTGCACAAAGGAGACAAAATGATAAAATCTGATTGAAAATTGAGGCTTTTTTTGTACAATGCAGTAGTGAATTTTGAATATGCAGGAAACAAATATTCAGAAAGCCCCCTGAGAGTACAAGAAGAGCAGGAAGTGACAGGTTTTGAAGAAATTCTATTCGCCCATGAACTATCTACTTACCACGGACACAAACTTCAGTTTTCTTTTAGCTGTCGTTTGGTGAAGAAAGATGCAGAAGAGGCAGAACATGAAACACAGGCTCCAGATTCCACACACCAGCTGCCTTGCTCTCATCCTGATGGTAGCTTTCAGCTGTTTTGCACACCAAGGTCCCTGGATGTGGTGATACAGTAGGTATGTGGCTAAGAGGGGAGGAGTCAGTTGTGCTCAGTGAAGTCTGAAAGTGGGCTGTGAGCTTCCCTTCTCCTCTGTTTTTTCCCCTTCTTGAGTTAGTGCTTTTCAGGGAGTTTGTGAAATTAAAAGTGTATTTTGCAGTTGTACTCCATTTCTGTGTCCCTTGTATAACACGACATGGAACCTCTGAGCCCTCTAATTCCTGCACCTTGCACTTGCAAGGCAGGTGAACATAAAGAACTGGAAGTTGCCGTCTACTCTTTAAGCTAGGATTTAGTATGTGTCAGTTAGCCTTCCCAAAAGTGAAAATGCTGCAGATATGCTGTCTCTTGTTGTATGCAAAAGATCTATAGTAAACCATCCTCCTCCCTAGTGCTAACACAATCTTCTCTGAACGCATTGTGCTAGAAAGCTAGAAGAAGCAGTGCTGACAGCTGTTCTTCAAAAAGGGTCCCTGGATTTTTCCCTGGATTTGCTGTGGTCTGTAGAAGCAATAAGCAGCAGAAGGTTTTGTTGCACAGGAGCAGGGTTAAGCCTAAAGTCAAGGCAGAAAAATAAAGGTATGTGGATGAAATTGATTGACTATGTCTCTAGTGGCAAAGTGTTTTCTAGACCTATGCCCCAGAATTTCAGAGTTAGGTACATACCGTGTTTTTCAAATGTCTTTTGCTGCAAACATTCTCATTGTTACCGAATGCACAAATCTAGAGTTCTTTGTGCCATTTCCCTGGTACATCGTTAAACAAAGAAAAAAATCCGGTTCAGAGACAATGTTGCAAGAGACAGGATTGTTGTTACAAGCTTATTGGTCTATGTTCAGTCACATCCATGTGTTAATGAAAGCCCTGTTAATATGTAAAAACTGAGGATGATTCTTAGTGATCAAAAGCTGTGTTTCAGAATTTAAAAGAAATGATTGAAAAAAAAGGGGCATGTTGCTACCCAAAAAGGTTATCCAATCACAAGAGAGATTAAGCACAAATAACAAACCTTCTCTTCCTAATTATTAGATATAGGCTTCTCTAGAGGGATCACTTCTTATTCCCAGAGTAACAATGCCAGATCTTTCACATCTGTCAGAGCTAAAGAGATTCCTCTATGAACCATTCAGAGGTCAGGCTTTGGTGGTGCAAGATGGTTCATCTGTCATTTCTGCTTTTGTGCCTGACAAGTCTAACACACTCATGCAGAAATAGAAAGATATGGGGAGCTGCCCACATTTATTGAGAAAGAAATTAAAAAACAAGGGACCTGGGGGAGATATGAGTCAACTGATTAAAGCTATTCACACCCGGTACATTCTCCTGCCTCCACTGGCTGTCATACTTCAAAAACCTTTTTGAAGAGGCTATGGTGTTGTGCTGTTTCTAGAGGATGTGACACCAGATGCCACTCCTAAAAGACACTGCTCTGCAAGGCAAAGTTATTTATGAGACCAGCTTGTAAGGCTGAGGGAAAAGAAGTGATTTCTCAGAATCGCAAGGCTCCATTCGGGTTATTGTGATACTGTAGATATGTCTAGCAGGAACAGCAGATATACAGCAGAGGCTGAAGGGTTTAACTTGATTCTTTTCAAGCAGCCACTACCTCACAGTTTCTGTGAGATTTCTTTAACAAGAAAGGTGAAATTACTCTTACTTTGGCGATACAAAATACTAGCGTAAACTCTGATACTTGCTTCCTTTGACTTGAACTTGGTGTTGCTAATTCTGTGGCAAGAGACACATAAAAGGCTGGAGTTATTTTAAAGTAAATCAAGTTGGTCAATGCTGTTTCTTCTGAAGGTCAGAAAGGGAGAATAAAACAGTGCTGTGCCCTGAGACTGAAACTCTAGAGAGCAGAAGATGGAGCTTTCTTGGCAGCTAACTTATTCCTGCAGAAATCCCTCTTTGCAGGTGGTGAAAGGTGTGAAAACTACAGCTACTTTCAAAGTCAGGGAACTGATTCTTTAATATGCCTGCAGCCTGTGTTAAAACAACAGTGGAAGGTGGAAGAGGAGGAGGTAATGATACAGGCAATAAATGAACCTCCCTCACTGCCTTGGAAGTACAAAGGAAAATACATGAAGTGTAGATCATATGCCTTTATCTTACCAATAAACTCGATGAAATATTTATGAGATCCTGATAAACATACGATTTTCAAGCAAGTAAAAGTACAGCTTTGTGTTGTGTCCTGTACTGTGCTAGCTGAAAAGTCAGTGTGCTAAGAAATGCTGCTGGTTCTTTGACATCATTTATGGATTGTAAGTTTTCATTAACAATCCTTCAGTGTTTTAAAGTAGATTCATGGTTGTGCTGTTACTGTATTTAAAAGCTTAGTAATCCAAAGGACAAAACTTAGCCCTCTAGCCCGAAAGTGCTATATGGAGAATCTTCTCCAAGCTCTGATGCTTGGAGAAAGCCCCCTTCCCCAGCTTTTAAGTGTAAGTGAAATCTGCTTGGTATTTAAACACAGAGTAGGATTGGACTTGTGGCTTAACATGCTACTTTGTTGACAATGGAGGAGGATCAGGATCAGTTGAAGATACACTGATAAAGGCATGTTAGGAGAAGACCTCAGTGTAGAATTAGTGAGGGGAGAAGGAGTCAGGTACAGGAGGACTTCAGCCCTGCCTTCCCTCTATTCCCCTCACTGAAATGTCCCCTAGTGGGATACTCGTTCCAGCCTGTGGTGCTGAAGTCATGGCTCTGTGGCTTTTGCAGTTTTGATGTTCATGTCCACTTCCATGCCTTTTTCACGCCTTTTTTTCTCAGCACCAGTCAGATCACGGCTGTGTCTGTGCCTAAATAGTCAACTGTTTCCTTTGGTTTACAGTGTACCTGTTGGTCTCTTGCTTGCACACTGTGATTAAACAATAAAGAAAAGTGAGGCTATCATTCATTCAGCTGCAGTAAACTAAAGCCAGAACAGAACATTTCCAAGTCACTTGCTTAATATCTAAATAGATAGGTATCAGCTGCCTCTATTTGGCTAATGCTTAACATGGACTTCTTTGGTCTTTTATGTTAGCAAAACAAAGGCATGTTGTGTCACCATGCCTGTGTCACAGGGACAAATTACCCCACCTCAAAAAGCATTCTGCCCCAATCAGATACACGCTTTCTGTTAATGATTTCAGTGCTGGCATACAATATTCTTTCAATTCATTTTAAGACTGAGAGACATGTTCAGCTGTCCTGAGGAGCCTGGTGGAGACTTGTCAGGAGCAGCTGCACCCTGCAAAAAGAGGAATCTACAGTGGTAACGGGGTCCCTGAAAATCTGAGTATGATGTTCTTGCTGTTGCTTCTAAGGAGCTGGGCTGTGGTTGCTCTTAGGCCATTCAGCGTTCTGGGCGATTGCCCTCTGTTTGATGTCCATCTGAAATAAAGTACTTTTTTTGCACAGTGACCAGCTTCTTCTTCATTACACTGATGTGAATATAAAGTAACTGCACAGAAGCTGGTGAACTTATTCTAAATATATTTCCCTTGAGGTTTACACAGCTGTTCTTGCACTTACGTTTTTCTCAGTGCCTTCTGATCTTCTGCATTTTTTTGGCTGTGTTTGGGATATGTACGTTTGCTGCTCCACATCTTCGTTTGATATGAGTTGGATTAGCTCTTTAATAGAGTAGCACTGGCTTACAGGGGCTTAAATATACAGGAAAAAGAGGATGTTAAAATCAATTTCCTCCACCTGTTCTGATGAAAAAGCATTATTAAAAAACTGAATCCCAGAGATGATACAAAGAGAGATCAAATTCTAGATTCAGTCTTCATCTGGAGTTTTTCTGGACTGCAAAGCTCCCTCTTCTGAAACGTGAGCACTTTCTCTCCAGTGCCACATGATTCACCTTTGTCATCATAAAATAATGACTCAAAGCAAGACTGACATGGAGGAGTTCCAGATTAAGATGCAGCTTGGTAGATGTGTCTTAACAGTTGATTACTACAGTATCAGAACAAAGGGATTTAGCAGGCATTATTCCACAGAGTGGTGGTGCTTATTTTGGTTTTAGGCCATCAGTGAGTCATAAACCTGAATTTTGGGCAGTGTAAAAGCCTTTTATTCTTTTTTCCCCAAATTATGTGAATGAATTCAAGCAACCTTGTTTGGGTGCAGTCATGGTTGTACCACATAACCAGACTGCCACTACAGGAAACAGTTAAAGTTAGTAGCAAATTGCTAGGAGACAAAGACTTTTAAACCACTAACACTAGGTAGTTATCTGGACTTACTAAGGAGCTGTATGGGACTGAGAGGGTAATGTTGATTTGACAATGGGAGGTGAGATAGTTCTCGTGCTAGAGGAAAGGAACATTTTCTTCCAGCCAGCCATCATCACAGCTGTCTAGCTTGGACATAAAGCAGAAGTGTTTCATCCAGGTGCTGACATAAGTCCAAACAACTACCTCCCTGTGTGTAATCAAGCATCAAGCTATTGTCCATGTGCACCTTAGAATACCTGAGGGGTTTGGGTTGCTGCTTTCTTCAGATTTTAATAATTATATTTAACTTTGAGGTAGGCTACAATAACTATGATTAAAGCAATTGTTCTGCTCAGCTGGAATGATTTCTGATCATGCCCTAGCACAATGCTGCAAAATTTGAAATGCAAATATGTGGGAGGAAAGAAATGTTCTTTTGATAACATTTTTATTTCTACTGGAATGAAACAAAAAGTCTTTTATACAAACCCAAGCTGAGGTCAAACACAAGCCAGCGGTTGCTGATAAATATTGGATCTTGCTGGTAATGAGCGTCATCTACCCATGTAGTTTAGTTTTTGGTACTTAAAACCCAAATTAAGAGTGAAGAATTAGTAAATGAGCTGTTTACTTCAGAACTAGCATCCCTTCCATCCTTCTTTCCGTTCTGTGCTGTTATCATCCTTCAGTCTCTTTGGATTCTTGGCTTTTTTGGTCATTTTTGCTCTTGTTCATTTTAATCAGTGAAGCATTTTCTGCCAGGACGTGAGCATCCTTTCATGGCACATTGCAAATCTTTTTTTTGTTCAAGTGTTTTTTGAGAAGCTGGTGATTGATTTAAATATTGCCACAAACATTTTCTGAATGAAACTGTCAGAACTGTTGCAATGGAAGACTTTGGTTTTATGT